GGTAATTTAATTTGACTTCCCCATTTATTTAGAAAATTTTTATTTAAAAATTAAAAAAATTGTTTCAAATTCAAACGTAAAAGTAATTCCCACTACAGCTTTAATGTATTAAAAACGTGACATACTTCAACATTAATAAGCAATAAAATATTTTTTTAATCATGAATATTTTTATTACCTGCCTTGTTAATCATATCAGTAAATGCGATTTTAATAACAATTCCTTTTAAATAATAATAATAATCAATGACTCAAAATCTTATTATGCGTATAATTACAGATAAATGCGTTTTGGAACTTAAGGGAGTAAAAAAGTGACTTATACAAGGTGCTATATATCAAAAAATGTCGTTTATCAATTGTGTATCAATAATATATTAAGTTCAATATTTAACTATGAAATATTTACATTTCTGAAATAGATTTAGATTGTTTGAGAAAGTTTATCGAAGGTATAATTCAAAATTCCGTTGAACAATCTTAATATCATAAACACAGATTAACGATTTCTGATCGCATTTTAAATTTTAAACAAATGATTTTGATACAATGAAATGATGATAAGTGAGTACATAAAAAGAGGACTGCTTATGCTCTAATATATTTTAAGAAAATAATTAGGTTACCCTAGTTTTAAAATGGGGAATGCACAAGTAATGCCTCTTTATGAGAATTGTCATTCAAACGTGATGAATTCCATAGAAATATTTTGTTTAGTATATTAAAACTTTTTAATCCTCCGGCATTATTATTTTCAGTCACCTTTGCTCAATTACTTATAGTTACTTCTGAAATATTTGATCCAATTTTTGGGTGAGTGAATGTGTGAATCTTAAATCGAATTAAAATCTACAATGTCACCTAACTCACTAACTTAGTCGGATATTCACGCTAAGATGAATTCACGCTACCCAGATTATACGGTGTAGGTATATTTACTCAACTTACTAAAAAAGATGTTACATTTCATATAAAAAATTAATATTTTGCTTTTTATAATAACATTAAACTTAAGTAAATCGAATTAACTAAAACTTAATAAGCAATTAAGTTACTTACTTGATTAAACGTTTATGGTTTAAATTGACTGTTCTGTTAATTCGATCGCCAGTTTGATATAAATATATATAAAACCGAAAGAAAGTTGGAATAAATTAATTATTGCAGCAATTGATTCTTATTCTATTTTCTGTAAATATCACCAGAAAACTAATAGAGTTATTATTCACAAAAAACTATATAAAGCAGCAACCATAAATTTCAGCAGTTCAAACAGCTCTGAAGCTATTAAGTTGAAGAAATCTCACACACTTTTTTATAGAGTTTAGTCAGCTGTTAAAAGCTAATTAAATTTAAGCAGTTAGTGGCATTTAATAGTTTTTTTGAGAACCCTATCGATTTAGGGTTCACAAATAACAAAAACCACAAATTATGTGGTTTTATATATTTATTTTATATATTTTTATACCGCATCAATTTTTATGGGTCTGCAATAATTGGACGCCTTATAGACCATGTGTATTGTAGATTATTAAAGCAAAACGAATCGTTTAAGCGACGTCCATCTATCTATCTATTTACATATAAATTCAGTTTTTCTTTCTATGAACGCAAACAAATAAAGTCGATAAATAGTTACATTGGCTAAGTTTAATATTGAGCGCCCATACGAAAAAACTGATGAATATGAATTTATATATACCTATGCTAATATTTTTGCGGAACCGCACTTTCGCTAAAATTGCGTAAAACTGCAAATAACTTAATAACAAATGGGCGGAGCACGCCCAGTTTTTGCATAAAGTTGTATTGTTATGTATGTAATAAATGTATATAATCTAGTAAGAGTAAAAAGTATTTTCAACGATAATGAACGATTTTTTAAGAAAATTTTATATGGGGGGTGGATGAGACAGTGGGCAGAGTACCATAAAAAAGTTGAAGCATATGTATTATAACGTGGGTATGTTGGACACCAAAATTTAACTTTCTATTTATCATAGTTTTTAAGGGAACTAAACTAAGAAAATGTGAAAATACACAATTTATAAATCTTTTTTTTAATTTAGATTAAAAAAAGGTATTCTCAAAAAATACATTTTTAGGAAAATCTCATGTCAATATCTATACTGGTTCAAAAAATATCAAATATCGGTTAATTTCATTTTGGTGCACTGTACGGACCTCCGTGTGTCAACGAAAGTAGGTTCTGACCCCCTGTTTAAGACAGTTTCAGTCTTATAACAACCTAACTAGGAGGCAGTTCAGTAGAGTCGTATGGCATATAGACCGATGCGACGATTAAGGTGTTTGCATCGCGACCTACTCTTAGAATAGTAAGAATTGTTAATTCAGCTTGGCTAGCTGGCTGGCCACCATCAGAGTTATCGCCTGTGGTTCTAGTTGAAGCAGTCGAACCAGCTGTCGGAGTTTTTGGGCAATCACCCTTATATCTCTTTGCTAGCTATTCTTCCTGCAGCGAGGACTCCACATGCGGTAGTTCGCTTAGACATTCGACTATTTGTTCAACCGATCGTGTTGCTTTTTCGCGCTTCTTCTTTTCGCTTCGGTTTTTCCCTCTTATTCAGACAAATACGCTTGCCTAAGTCCGTCATTGTCACGTTTCCTACTATTGTGATCAACAGATCAGCCTCTTTCGGGGCTTCTTCTTCCACCATTTCATGGGCCAAATAACTGTGATGCGTCGTCATATCTGAAGCTAAGGCTATCAGCGTGTGAGGCGTCATTGTCCACCTAATCAGTGTCAACCATTTCGCCTTGATTAGGCTTTATTAAAATTTTATTAGAATCTATATTGTTCGCACGAATTATATATTCACCTGTGGAAATAATAGCAAGAGAAGCTAGGAGAGCATCAAAGAAACTTATCAGCTAATGAACAGCACAATCGCATGGTTCATTGACGGTTCACTTACGAAGGAAGGTGTCGGAGCGAGCACATTCAGGCCGGGCAAAAAGTATTAGGAAGCGCTAGGAAAATATATTAGCATCTTCCAAGCGAAAATTTACCCGATATTTAATTACATACTTTTCAATATTGAGCAAAAATACTAGGGAAAAAATATTGCAATACTGACAGATAGCCAAGCGGCATTAAATTCGCATGAAGTGACTACAAAACTGGTGCAAAAATACCTTTATAAGCTAAACCTGCTCGGTAAGCTAAACCTGCTCAGGTTACGATTCTCTGCGTACCGGGACAAACTGGGGTACGCGAAAACGAATACGCAAATAAAATAAACAGAAAAGAAACAGCCACACAGATGGTGAGGTCGGAATCTTTCTATTGGTTTGGATACAGTACCCTCCTTTCTCTGATAAAAATGAAAGAGAACCAAAACAGGAAGGATTACTGGAGTGACCTGCTGGAATTAACGGAATCCATCCAGTTCACTTATTTTTATCTACAACAATAGGAGATATCAGGATTGTATGGGCTTATTAAAAGAAAAACTAAAAATCATTACAAAAATCTTAACAGAATTTTGTAAACTAAAATATTATCTTTTGAGACTAGGCATACTTACGAATGCAAACTTATTCAGACACATATGTGCTGTTAGAATGCCCTGCGTTAATATACATACGGAATTGACTCCTGGAATGTTATACCCTTATGAAAGAGGCAATAAAACTCTGTAAAATTGGTTATATACTACTTTTTATCAAAGCAACAGGGCTTAAAGACATAAGCTAAACCCAGAAGTGAACACAAGAGAATCGACGATCGTTGTGCCATATCCCATATCAATAATAATAATACTAATAATTATTATGATAAGATTGAAATGAATTCGTAATTAATTTACAAAAGGAAAACTAAAAAGGTTGCTATTTACTTTTCATTTTTATGGCCGTGTGCGAGTTCGAGTAAATTGAGGTAAAGTAAATTGAAATTTTCTAGGAAGTTTTTGCATTATATATTCCCCGCTATACCGACATAATTTTCCATTTCCCTCAATATACGATCAATTTACTCGAACTCGCACACGGCCTACACATTATACCAATTCTAAGGAAATTTAGTATAAAAGTTGGTCGAATAATTTTAAATATTTTCAAATAAAATGCAGCCCTGCATCAGTTGTTTTCTGTCAAAATATTTACGGCATTTATTTTGGTTTCTGCGTTAAAGTATTATTCGTTTGTTATATTTACTTAAAAATTCGAATGTTTTCGTAATTGTAAATAAAATATTAAGTGTAACGTAAATAAATAATTCAACTGTAAATTCTTATGAAATAATATTATGACAGAATTTAAATTGAAAACTATAACTTGTGGTTTATATTTTAATCACGGAATCGCAATTCACAAGAAAAAAGCTTTGTTTTGTTTACTTTTATTTGAAAAAATTAAGTGAAAAATATGCATGCGAATCAAAGAAAAGCAAAACCAACAACAACGCAGCCTTAGCTTGTGCCGACATAGTCATTAACACGCCACCCACTGGTAAATTATACGCAAAGAGAGCAACAGCAGCCACAACAAAGTGCCCACACAACTCTTGCCATTCATTTTTTTGAAGAGACTTGCGTGTTGATTCTGTTGATTTTGTGGCAGCTGCAAGCAGTTGCGGCAGGTTCGGGCTAAATATGTATTTTCAAAAGAGACGCTGTACGATGGAATCTCAATAACAAAATGCACGGTAGCCACGACTGCTCCATAAAATTTCATTTCAGATTTCCACACCAAAAAATTTCTCTACAAGTTTGAGAAAATGTGTTACAAATCATTTGTGCCATTCCTAGTACTTATGACGGATTAATTCATCTCAGAAAATATTCACGAATTGTGGTTACTGATTACTTATTTTGGTGATTATAGAAGTTTATTTTTATAATATGGGTTTATAATGACGGCTATTCTTACTACATCTAAACGTAGTAATCATATAAAAATATGTTTTTAAAAATACATATTTTATGTACACAGAATTTTTTAACAATTTTAATATAGGAGAAACATTAGGTTAATACCTTGAATTAATCCCCGTAAATAGAGTCCAATATATAGCACCTTATAGAAGTACAATCTCTCTCATAGCACAATTAATATAGTTCACAAAATATAAAAATTTACTGTACTATATATTTAACAAAAATTCTTTTAAATAATAAATAAAAATTGTTATAAATTAATTATGACAGTAGAAATAATAGATTAAAGCAGATTCGAGTATACTAATAATGCAAAAAGTATTATTTATCTAAATACTTGATACGATATAATGGTCATTTTAGTTTTTTAAGTATGTTCAAAATTCACACATAAATGGCCATCTACTGTAAAATGACTACACAGATATATACTTATCTATTAGGTAAAAATACTAAATAAGTAGGAATAACAGATAAGAAACTTTGAAGGCATTTAGTGTGGGGTGGAAACCATTTATTATGCATGTATCATTTGCGAAATTAAAGAAATACTTCAACTCTGCATCAACTCAGATAAAATATAATCTCATGTCTATTAAGTCAACATAAAATAAATATTAATACCATATGCAAATATGTATACTTGAGTGCATTTTAGAAATATATCCACGATATAATAATATCCACGACATAAAATTGATATCCAATTTATATATAATTTGGAATATTATTCGATAGTTTATTTTTTCAAAAAGAAACCAATCTCATATTCGAAATATGATAATTCATGATAATTTAGTTAATTGGGTTTTTATACAATCCTATAGTTAATACTTAAAGATTGCAATTTATTCTTATCGTCCTTATCAATTTGAAATATTTTAAAATCATGCAAGTCCTATAGGTTCATTAAAATATCAAATCAACTAAGTGTTCGTTTAAGTATGGCAAACTAAGTACAATAACTTTTGTGAGGTAGATTCTGATTAATTATAACTAATATATTTTTTAACTCTTTAAACATAATCAAATTAAGTTGACTTTATGTATAAACAAAGACTTTGAACTGAAAACGTGTTCCTTCCGGTTTAATCAAAACAAATATATCAACTCGGTTTCGGTTTTAATTCCGATAAAAAAAATTGATTTTTATTTAATTTTCACGGTTCAGTTCCGAATCAATAAACTGCTATAAACGATACTATTAAAATTACCTGAATACTTGACTACAGTTTTGTGAACACTAAAACTTTTATTAGTAAAACAAGCAGTTCATGATATTTTAGCAATATTTACTAAATATTTTTAAGTACTATTACATGAAATCTATTATTAATACAATAGGGAATAACAATAAATTACAGAACCCTGTCCAATTTGAACCGCAGACTCACAAAATAACATACTGAGCCAACATTGCATTGTTTCACTTTAGAGTTGTGTTCAATTGTTATTTTTTAAATAACAAATGCACTGCTGTAAATTATAGCTGCATATATGAATGCACGCAATTATCAACGATTTTTTTCTTTCAAATTTTAATATTATTTTTTAATAATAATTCCTGAGATTTCCTGTAATTCCTGAGAAACCAAATTTATAAATTTAACGCACTTTTCATATAATACCTATATTATTATACTTACGTAAGTTTTTATATTTTTATGCCATGGAAATATTCTCTTTCTTTTAAAGCTCTATGATTGTTATTGCTGACCTTAATTTTGGATCCCTAATTGTAGGGGTAACCGGTGTTTGGTCATAGGAACAAACGACTGGCACCAGAATGTGAATGTGAATCTGACTGCTCCTGGATACTGGGATCTTAAACTATATATTTCTGATGTAATTAGGAAGAATTTTCAAAAAAAAAAAATAAATCAGTAACACATATAATAAAGGGTTTTTAGGTTCTTACAAGTCATCTTAAATATTTCAAATTCCTTTACATCAGATATAACGGATTTTTTAAAATTTTGTCATTTTATTCACTTTTCAATGTTTTAAAAATTAAATTTGTTGATGGATTTATTGTGCATACCTTTAAAATACATGCTTTCCATATGAACTTGAAGTAATGACTCGCACAGTATTAGCAGTATTAGTATTTATACTACACGCCACCGATTAAGAATTGCAACTCTCATTTTATGCTTTTACATTATACATTACATTATACTCTTATACTCTACATTTTAACAGTAATGCAATGGTACAATAATATTATTATAAAAGAAGAATTCCGTCAGGAACATAGACTACTTGCATAGAATCGCTAGGTATTTATGCTAAATATCTTAATTCGTTAAATGATTTATTAGTTTTATTTCGGATTGTTCTTCTCCAGGTAGTACGAGGCATGCCGGGTCTTCGATTGCCTTGATGATTCTATTGTAGGGAATGGTTCAATAAACTATTAAAAATATTTTCATCTGAATTTTAAAATAGGTTTCAAAACACCGTCCTCGCAAGTCAGTCTCTGTATGCGGTTTTGGGATAATTGTTTTGAATTCAAATCCTTTAAAGTATATCTGTTTTAACTTGAATTAACGTATTCACCTAAAATTAATATAAAGTTGCAACTATTTTAAATATCTAACTTAATTATTTAAATATATGGTTTGAAGATTTTGTTCTGCCTATCATTTTGTTAAAAAATGTAAAAAAAAAAATTTTAATTTAAATTATCAAATTATTTATTTTTAATTTTTGATTATTTTTGCGTCACTATGTTATAATAAAGGGGAATGAGGCCTTTGAAATTCAACAAACTTTATGCAAATTATTTGCCACCCCATTTCGTTCGCACTTGTGCTCTGCTCGCATTGGAATCGCACTCGCGCACTCTTCTGACGAGGACGATACTACGATACTCTCGGAATTTTCGGAACTCGCACAGTACGTGCTTCACTATTTTGTATGAAGTCGCGAAAAAGTTTCTTTTGAGTTGTTTAAGAACCGGGAACGCGTACGGAGGTCTTCTCGCATCGACGTCGCGTTGCATATTTTTAAAGCAAAAAAAAAAAGTTCAAATAACAAAACAAACAATTTCAACATTAAATTTACAATTATAATTATTTAAACACCAAATTCAAAAAGCAATAAAATTATTAATAATTTTAATAAAATTTAGTTAAGAATTAGTATAAATAGATGATATTTGTTCATATGATTGGTGCCTTTGTGGTTCATTAAGGCTGCTGCTCTTGCTGCTGCTGCTCTGACAAAGAAAAAATATAAAAAATAATTTTCATATTATAACGGAAAGATAATAAGCGTTAGACATTTTTGTGGCACATTTTTAAGTATCCTCGGGGGAAGAAATTATATACTTCAGTTTGAGTACGAAGTGTGTGAGTAAGATAGACAGCAACAAAAATATTTATATTATACTTAATACCCATTTTTCCGTTACATATAACTGCATAGGAATAGATGTCTATAATATTCGTTGAATATTCAATGTGGAACACTGCATAATGTATATGAGTTGCAGCATAAAGAAAAATAAGAAGCACCACGTAGTGTGTTAGGTTGTAGTTAGCGGTGGTAGTCAAATCTTGTTGCATACCCAAACGCGCAAATCTTCGTTAACCGCCAACCAAACGTGCTAACCAATCTACCGACCGACCGACCTCCATTAGCCGAAAGTGAGACCGATTCCGGTTCGAGTGTTTACTTGAATGTTAAGTCAGTACGAGTCTAAGTTTGAGTCAAGTGAGGACGAATTACGTTAATCTGGTTGCAATTGATGCTCATAAATGTTTTTGATGCATATTAGCGGTTGAAAATGAAAATGTTAGATTTTGTTATGAAATAGGGAAAAGTGTGATATGGTGTTATAAATGTGAACAATTAAGAATTCTCTATTCAAAATTAAACCCTAACCGTTATCCCTCAGAACAAAAAACCAACATAGTCCTTCCTTTTTGTGAACAATTTTTTATGCCGGATTGACATCATCATCTCGTCGCCCCCAAGATGACCACTGATTTACTCTTCCCGAAAATAGCAGATTGCTCATACGTCTCGTGTTACTGGTAAGTGCAATTGGTGACAAAATAATTTTAAATAAGTACAGAAATTTTAAAACAATTGAGGATTTTTTTTCTAATTTTTTTTTAATTATTTATTTTACAAATATATTTTAAAAGTTTTTTTAGTTTAAAATAGTTTGGTTTAGTTTTTAGTTTGCAAATATGGTTTAAATATGGTTTGTCTGATATTGTGTACTGTATCTGTGTTTTACATAAACTTTCATTTCGTATGTTTCGTATGTTTCTCAGCATACAAAATTAGGTCAAACGGTCATGTTCATGCTTTAGGGGGGAAAATGAGAAATTTTATTTTTGACACAGTGAAATGCATAAATAGTTTCGGTAGAATTTAAGCTAACTTTTGGCAAAGGATAGAGTGTCACATGCATTCCAGTATTGCGAACAATGAAGTCCGAAAGCAAATAAAACGTTAAATGGATTATATAAAATGATGTGCATATAATCATAAACTTATATATGTACAAGTATTACCGCAGTGTCTACAGAACATCTGATGTACATCTTAGCAAGAGAAGTGTATAAACTGCTCACATACTTACTTCGATATATCGTACAACTCCGGATATTCATATATACACAGATACATTCATATATAGATGTCTGTTCATACATATTTTTTGGCATGCTAATACATAAGGTCAGCCACAAATATTTATATAGAAAGTAAAATGAAATGCATGTATACATATAACTAAATAAATAAATAAATACAAAAGGTATATATGTACACATACTATATAATTAAGTGTATACAAACAAATATTCGCATTTTGGCTTTATATTTCTATCTCACGTAACGGAAATTATTCTTTGGAGCCTAATTAAAAAAAAATAAAACGCAATTGTTGAAATTTCGCTTAAATTTTAACGATTCGCTCAGTTCTCAGTTCCAAATAATTACGAAAAGACGGTAAATGAATTTTTGGATAGCCTTTGCCTGAAGCAGCCATTAATAAATAAATTAGAAAAGCATTGTACATTTAGTATTACTAAAAAGGCAAAGTTCACTACGAACTTCCTTTCCAAAAAGGACTTTCTTTGAAAAAATTAAAGTCTAAAATAAGAAAAAAACTAATTAAAATGCGTGCCAATAAAATAAATTAAACAAATAATTGCATGACATCATGTTTAAGTAATATGATCATCGTCATATAGTAATTAAAGCTGCTCTACAAACTTCTCTAATCTTTTATTTTCGCTACAGTTTTTCTGTCTAGTTATTTACATTTAGTAATATAAGAATGTCCTGTTCATTTACAATCCATATTTTCCTAAGTGTACTGGTACTCTATATACTGCAATTAGTAATTTAATATCCTATCTCGCCTTTGTCATTTATAGAATTTTATTTAATATCTTTTGTCTTGTTCAATTAACTCATTAAAATTGATGAGATGTGACAGTGTTATTCAAATTAATGTCCATTTGCGCACTACTTCAATGCAATCTACGAATAAAACATGAAATGGTACAACAATTTGAATTTTTATAAACTAATTAATCCATTGTGTTTTGGACTCAATTTTGACAGAGATTCTTTGACAGATTTTGGCACACAGATTTAGAAAATGATGCTATTTATTAGTTGTTTAAAAAACGAAACACTATTTTTTAGGCTTGCTAAATACTACTTCAAATAAAAATAACAAGATAAATAACTGCAACCAATTCAATTTTAATTTCAAACTGCTATAACTTATAACGTCCATAGTTCCCTTTAATATTTCGGTATGAGAACCACTTTTTAGAAAATAATTTTGCGAGGAACTCAAATGTAATAGTCTGATATATTGTACCATAGTATATTTGATGCAAAAACAACTAATGACTATTGTGAATATAATGAGCCCACGAACACTTAAATAATAAACATTAATAAAACAGATATCTCTCGCTCCAAAGCCTTCAGAACGCCATGATCTTGGTTGGAGAAAATTACATCTGTATCACAAGTGGCTCAGACTGTCAAGGTTTGATTTAAACAATATCCGCACAACAGTCGAAGGTTCATTAGCTAAAAATGTTCAAAACAACTACGATAATGGTCAGAAAAAAATGACATATGGGGTTCAAAAAATAAAATCCGTACAACAATTGAAGCTAAAAATATCGAAAACAACCACTGTAACAAATACTCAAAAATGAGCTCCCAGAGGGAAGCCTTACAAAGTCCATAAAGAGAAGATTTTTTCCGATGTTCGAAACAAAATTTAACATGTAAGAGTAAAGTAAGTGTTGCACCTGTAGGAGCACATCCAAGTGTCGAAAATCATCTTTTCTGATGAGGAATAGACAAATTAAATAATTGGGTATACTTAACAAAGAAATGATAAATAAGTTAGCAGTCGAATAGGCACTAGAAGTCCTGATTCGAGAATGATTTGAACGGTTGCAACGATTTAATCACTCTAGTTTATCGTTTGTGAATCGTAACTTTACCGTTAATGGAAATACTTACATGAAAAAGTTTTGGTAGCTGGTCTTAAGATATAAGCTCCAAAATATTTCGGTATGAAAGTTTGGAAGTTTCGACAAGATTATTAACCGTGATGTAAAATACGCTCTTAAAAATAACTAAAAGGAGACAAGATTCCACACTTCATTTAGATCACCCCGTGATCTCTATGATTATTAAGTTTTCTAAAAGACCAATATTAGTACTACAAAATAATATAGGTTTGATTTGTTCAATGAAGCCTTTCATTGTGAATAGATTAGAATCCCAGAGGTTTATATTCATGAAGTTCTGACTCGTTTGTTAAACAATTCTGAGACATAGTTTATGCTAAAGATGTCCATATTAAAAAGTCAAAATAAATTCGCAAAGAGTAATTATTTTTCATCATTTTTCCTTTTATTTTTCATCATTTTTCCTTTTATTTAAATAATATATAATTTTAAATAAATAATTTTTGAATTTTGTTAATTGCAACTGAATAAGAGGAATCCATAAAAATTCTTCGGCACAACTCTTGCACAGCCTTTAGTCCATGTCAATCGGGCACTTACTTTCCGGAACGAAGGATTGTGGTCAGTGCGTAGGCTTACATTCCTCTTTGCTGCAAAAAAAAAATTCTTGCAGAGCCTTTAAACACGACACAACTTGATATAAATTTTGTTAATTATGTTGCCAATAACTCAACATATTTCAAAGATTCCAAAATACTAACACAATATGCCTAACGAATATATTTTCACGACGTGAAATAACAAATCTGAAAATGCAGACAAAACCTTAATCAGACTAAAGTAGATAAAATTCTGTGGAAACTACTTACGTGAAGGGTATTACAAGACCACTATCATAAGCATGTTAGTCTATTGCTTTATTTTTTCTACCACCAAATGTCTATTGTATATCATATATTTAAAACAGAATGACATTTTTTAATTCAAATCTAAATTAATTAAAAAAATGAATTGTAAAATGTTATGTGTTGGCACTTTTAAGTCTTCCCTTGTAAACCGTGTTTTGTTGGTTTTATTATTATTAAAATCGCATAACCGTTTTTACTGTAATTGATTGATTAATTGTTTATTTATTAGATAGTTAACCGAGTATATTTACTAGAATAGAAAATTGGTTAGACTGATTTTATCCAAATTCAAAAAATCAAAAATAAATGGAATGAATTTGTCGCAAGAAATGGTTTCTGTACTCAGAGATACACTGCCATTATTAGGAAAATCCAATATTTGTTACAATCCAAACACTATTTTAACACTATATTCATATCAAAAACATGCCCGTAAAGGTTGGAGATGGAACTTACTCAGATTGTGTAAATAAATACAGAACGAATTCATTTTGCAACTGACTTATTATACACTTAACAGAAACTGATATTTAATTCTTTGCCTATAGCCACATAGCAGGCAGACAGTCTTAAACATTTTTGTCCTATGTCCCATCTTTAATTGAGTTAAATAAACTTAACTGTGAGCTGATCGTTTGGTTATCAGAATACTTTGACCAACACAATAACTATATAGCGAATGCACTAGTACATGATAATACAGTCAAGAACTTCAGTAGTTTTTCTATACAGGGTTAGGCGATGGAAGTGTTACCTATTCAAGCAACCACATCTTGTTTGTGTGAAATTTAGGAGAAGTGTTCAATTTATTGATTCAAAAAATTGTGGAAATAATCAAGATTTCAGAATCCATTCACTCTAACTCGTTGTGGTCACCTTTTTCCTATGGCCTTCAAACTATTAAAAAAATGAATTGTATGACTCACGAATGAGATCTTCCGAATGAGATCTTCTGTTTATGAACAATGGCTTCCTTCAGCACATACTGGCATATTTTTTATTGCTAAGCTCTAAATAGTTTTCAATCACAGTTATTAAGAAATTATTTAAGAACTTGTTTAAATTAAACTATTACGTTTAGCTGTTTATTAAAAGTTTTAATTTTAAATTAAAAGCTTTGCGACCTATTATATTTTTAGCAACGATATTTGGTTTAGTTGCACAACATATTTGGTGAATAATGTTAAAAAAATAGAATTAGTTAAAAGAAATGAAATAATGAATAAAAATAATGTTAAAAAATAATCTTAAAAAAACATGAATCTAAATAGTTATTTATATATTTGCAAATCTGAAAGTATCCACTTTATTTTGAAGAGGTGAATACTATTTTCAAGAAATAAACTATACAGTTTAGGAGAAGTGTTCAATTTACAGAGTTAAACGATATAGGGTGTTAAGAGTTAAAGCATCTACATATATCTCAAAAATGATTTGTTCAAATCGGTTACTTTATATAACAGTTTTTAGTCAATGTTAAATATTCTTTATAGGGTATGAAAATTATAGTGGTCCAGAATATCTTCTTTTCATATTTTCATGAGTGAAATACAATTTCGAATTTATATTATTCCTTTTACTTAAACAGTATTTTGGACATTTCAAAAACGGTTCAGTTAAATTGCAAATTTCAATTGCTGTTAGATTAAATGTAAGTCCACCTTA